AGTTTTGTTGCAGGTAATAAAATACAAAAAGTAATTTATATATATATATATATATATATATATATATATATATATCTTATCTTTAAATATTGGATACATTTTCATGTCGCCGGAGCCGGTGATGATGTTCTTGTCGTCGAGGAATCTGCAGGACGACAGAAAACCCTCGTAGCCCAGAAGCTCCCTCACGATCTTGGCGGAGCCCGTGGCGTCGCGATTGTTCACGTCGTAGACGGTGCACATGTTGTCCATGCCGCCGCACGCGACGAAGTTGCCGGACGGCGCGAAAGCCACCGACATCACCCAGGCCGAGCGCAACGGGATCACCTGCACCTTGTTGCCGGTCCACGTGTCCCAGATGATTAGCTTCCCGTCCAACGATCCGGTCACGCAGTGTCTGCAGCGTAAAACGTAGATCAATGTAGACAGATGCGTCCGTTATTCTCAATATAAAAGATTCTTGAGGTACGATAAACTGTCTAAATTAATACATTACGACCAAGGTGAAAGCGTAGAGGAGTAAAAATATTTCAACAGCTACATTTATGATGAATCGAAGAATTACTAAAACTAAGACTAAAACTGACCGACTGTCGCCACTGTAGTGTACCGAGTTGACCTTATTAATGTGCCCCTTCAGCATCTTCTTGGTCGACAGTCTAACTTTCGAAGCATCCGCCACCCCGCTGCACACTTGCTCCAACGTTGTATCCTGTTGCTTCTTTTGTTCTTCCTAATAAGGCGAGTAAAACGAATGAGAAGAAGCAAGAGAGAGGAGAGAGTTTTTCTGCCTCATATATATTAAAAATTATAATTGCTTGAAATATTAATCCCTCGACTGTACGATAAAACGTTTGGACCTTGCACTTGTTGATGAGATCCTCCAGTTCTTTCTTCAGGGCTATAGTCTCGGCGTCGTCCTTGCCCATTTTTATCCCCCTTCGAGCGGCACAGAGTTTCACCAGCGCCCAGAAAAATGTGGGAAAGAAACGCCACCGACGTTCGACATGTGAAAATCGTCGACTGTCGAACGATTTCCGACAACACGCAGAGGAAACCTCAGGATCGTCTACCCCGCTGCCCCAGTAATTGTATTAGATCACCAGTTAATTCAATTTGTTGGGCATTAGCTTGGCTTGTTCACGTAACTTAATTATCTACATACATGATAACGCTTTTCGAAGTACATATCTA